ATGACTTGTCTTTCAAACTTAATATAAAACAGAATAAAATACATCTCCCAAGACCTTCTTGCTTCCTCGCAGATTTAAAGTCCCCTGCTCTCAATCAATCGGGTCCAAGAACTCAAAATTTTCTAAAGATGCAATCAAATATTTATCAGCAAAAGTTGGTAAAACTGAGAAATTATTTATGGCCCAAATTTTGAAATAGTCACACTTTGAAGGAGGAATAAAAAAGCACGTGCTGGGAACTACACGCTTCTTGCCAGGGTACACACAACCAGCCCCCCCCCTTCCCCCCCGCTGCCTGGGATTCAAAACCTGGAGGGAAATCACAGGTCTGAGAAAGTACGTCCCCAGCTGGGTATTTTCTCCTCTTTTCAGAACTCTACGGAGATGGGATGGAAAAGCAGCCCCTAAATTCTAGTAACTTAGCTACTTACCAACCACTTTATTTGGCAGACAGATGAATTATACAGCAGTGAAAACTGTGTCTAATCCCCAGAGCTGGCTGCATAGCCTCTCTGTGAGCAGACAATTCTACACGGCACCACCCTCAACTGGGAAGACCCCCAATGAGGGCTCGTTCCCTCCAGCACCTTGCTTTTGATGTCTTTACCCTTTAGGAATGGGCCTCCTTTCTTTAAAGGAATTCAGGTTTTGATAAAATATGACAGGAAGGAAGGAAGGAAGGAAGGGAGGGAGGGAGGGAGGGAGGGAGGGAGGGAGGGAGGGAGGGAGGGAGGGAGGGAGGGAGGGATATTTAGTTTCCATTCATCCTCTTGAAGTATAAAACAAAAAACCATTTTTTGGCCAGCATGCCAACTCTTGTGTTCTTTATGATAATTTTATATGTAGCTAAACTTAATGTTTTTTCTAGCATCATTTTATGAAATCCCTAAACACCTAGGCAAATAGAGAGAAGTTTACAGGGATCCACCATTCCCCCGGCACCTAGATTCTACGGTTAACAATTTATAAGACTTGTTTTATCATACGTCTGTCTATTCATTGATCCATCAGCCCTCAGTCCAAAATTTTTTGGTGTGTTTCAAAGAATTACACTTAATTTGTATGCTGTTTCAAAGAGAATAATTGCCAGCAAGGATCTTCCGTGGCGTGGAAGAGAATTCTCGTATTGCACTCAGCAGCTCTGAGCGTATTGGTTGAGAACACAGACTGGAATCTCAGATTCGTCACCAAGCGTGTCTCTGCTGTTTAGGGCCTGTGTGACTTCAGACAGGTGACTTCATCCCTCTGGGTCTCGTCCCTCTCCTTTGGCACACTGGAAGATAATCCCCATGCAGCTGCTATTATGAGAATTCAACATAATAGATGAAACATGCTTCCAGTACTGGACAAATGATGAGTTTGTGATGATTTTTCTCCACTCTGTAATCGTCTGAGATCAAGGGCTCTGTCTGTTTCCCTTTGTCATTAAATCCCCAGCCTCCAGCGCAGAGCCTTGTAAGTAGCAGATGCCAAATGTAAGCTTGTGGACATGAATTGGGTTGAATTTCGGAGGTTTTTCCCTCCTGGGATGCAGCAAGTGCTTATTAATGGGGAGAGACGAGTACAGTTGGCTTCAAAAGCAACAGACACAACAAAGGCAGCTCCGGAAAGGAGGTGGGAGCAGAGCATAAGACAGAGAGAAAACCTAGCCTGCAAAGAACAAGAATTTACCTTGAGTTTGGGGATGGGGCAGAAGCACCCCTCCTGTCGGCTGGACGGCACCCTTTCAATGCACACTACAGACTTCTAGCTGCCATTTGGCTTGTTGCCAGAAGCCTTTCCCCTAAGCCCCAGAAGGCTGCTGGGCCTGTGCGCAGGGCAGGCCGAGTGTCCTCATAATTCACAGTTCTAGGGCTGGCCCTCAACCAACAACTGGTGGGGTTGGCATATGAACATCCCAGTCCCTTCCCCGTGGAGTGGACAACCCTGATGGTGTGCTCCATACCACTCCCCAGTGTCTCCCCGTGGGATTACAGTCCAGTCGCTCAGACTGGAGGCTGTCTTGATAAACAGGGTCCCAAGTGGCTGCTTCCCTTCCTGTCTCTCCTCATCACTCCCTTACCAGTATTGTCTTTGCATCCTAAATAAACCACCTGCATTTGAATTCCTGTGTCAGGAAACTCAAAGTAAGACGTGAGTCTTGATACGTTTATAACCACAGGATCTCTCCAAATGGCATGCTGCACTCAAGTCCGGTTCAGAGCTGCCCTGGCCCAGGCAGTCCGGGTGGATGGAGTGACAGGTGGAGGCCACATCCTTGACCTGGTCCCCTTTCCCTCCTCCCCACCTCCCAGCACTCACTGAAGACACGGGCTCTCAGAGCTCTGCAGAGCAATGCTTGTCAGCTACTGGTGGAATTGACGAGGATGAAAGATATAAAGAAAAGAATAAGATGAATGAATAAAAGCAAGAAAGCACAGAAAGAAAAATATGTTCCGTCAAAGGCATAAAGAGTGTGGAGAAACACGTAGCTTTTGGAAGGCGGTGCAGTTATTCTGCACAAACCATCTGGAGTTTTGGGAGGATTTCACACATTACAATGTTACTAGACTATCACATTTAGAAAAACAGTTGCTTTGTAGAAAATCCAGGTTAAGAGCCCATGTGGGCAGTACATAAAGCATTAAGGAGAGATGAGTCTTCAGCTTGGAAACAAAATTTTGTTAAGAAACACTGCAGAAGAATGTCTCTAGTTAGCTGTATTCTTATGGACCCATTAATATCTCAAGGAAAGAGGCTTAAAAAACGTATCCAAATATACTCAAGGAAATGAGCGTGTGGGAGAGAAGGAAGATTTAGAATGATCACATAATTTAATGTCTATATCTAGACATGTTTAAGAGAAAAGGTGGTGCTAATAATAATTATGCCAGGACCACCAATTTTCCAAGCAACTGAGATGTATGGTCACCCTTGTTACAACCTAATTAATGGAACTGAAACTCCATTACTGAAAGTATTATATATGAATGGTAGACAGAAGAGGAGAACATATTTTAGATCAGACCTCTGTAAACTTGATCGTACAACCCAAACAGATTCCTGGCCTCATCCCAAGAGTTTCTGGCTCAGTGGTTCTGGGGTGGGTCCCAAAAATATGGATTTCTAGTAAGCAACCAGATGACGCTGATGCTGGTGGTTCATACTCTTGAAGCAGGGCCAGTGGTTTTCAGCCTTGGCTACACATCAGAAGTCCATGAGACCTTTTGGAAACACGGATGCTTGGTCTTCAGCCCCTGACTAACTGAATCAATTTCTGAGGGTGGTGACTGGCGTCTTAACTGTGTTTTAACTGCCCCAGGAAATCATGATGCACAGTGAGGACTGAGGCACCAGGTTTGAAGAACAGGAACACAACTTGTGTCTTTAAAATTGTCTGGGGGCAGAGCCTTGCAGACTCGAAGACTCTGGCCCCTTGGCAACTGCCATTCTTGGCTTGAGAGAAAATTACACAAAGCCATCCCCATGGCCAGAGTTATCCGAAGGGGCGGGGCTCCCAGCCCCACCCCGTCCCCTGGGAACACTCTGCTTTGCTTTCCAAGGTTTTGCTTAAAAAAAAAAAGACATCTGGCACCATGGTAGTTGGAGATCATAAATATGGTGATTATGAGGACATTGGATAATCGATGCTCCTAATTTCTAATAAAAGTAGATTTCTCGTAATCTAAATCACCTCTTATCTCTTCCAGGTCATAATAAAACCCCCCTGTTAGCCCATCTCCTTGTGCCCACTCTTCCCTACCACTCATCTCTGCTCCTACAAAGCATTTACACACACACACACACACACACACACACACGAGACCTTCCAGAGATTTGCTGCATGAACGATGAAATCTGCACCTCTCACCACGGCCTCCAGGACTTCACTTCGTACCACTCTCTTCTTTGCTCATTATATTGTAGCCAAGCAGACATTTTATCCTAAAATACACCCCATGCTTGCCCGTCTCCTGGCCTCTGCACACAGTTCTCTCCGCCAAGATGCAGTTACTCCTTCCCATGGTAGTCCTTCCTCATTCTCCCGGTCTCCACGCAAATGTCAGTGACTCCAACCCGCCTTCCCAGCCATCTGTGTAGATTCCTTCCTCCCTCTCCTCCCCAGCCTGCCATTTGCTCTTTTTCTCAACAGCCTGTTTCCATTTTTTTTGTTACAGCATTTGTTATTACCTGCAGTTTTCTTGTTTATATAGTCACACACTGAAATATCGGTTTCCTCTACCCCAGCAGGGTCTTGTATGCTGGTCCACACCTATAGTTACCGGTTCCCAACCTTAGAGTCCAGCACATAACAGGTGGCCCTTATTAATGAATAAATAAATTGTCCAATAGCCCCCGTCACTGAGATCATTCATTCAACTAAGAGCTGTTGTTCAAATTTCAAGTTCACTACCACCACCAACAACCAAAAAAATGTGTTGACCAGGCAGCACCAGTATTTCTGATGATTTAACAGCAACTATTTCTTCTCAGGAAAGTCAGGGTTTTGATGTTTACAACAGTGTTTTCTGGATCTGGTTAGTATGATTTAGTCTCTTTGAAGTGGTTCCTTTGATCGTAGTTTTTAGAAAGTTGACCCACTACTGTTCCTGAAATAACACAGTTGAAAGCCAGGATCTACAATAGAAGACCACCTATCACCCTGCGGCTCTGGTGCCGGGGCTTATGGGAACGGTCTGCCTCGACCTTACCTCCGCAAGCACAGTGTGTCTCCCAGCCAAGGGCACGGTCCAGAGGCTACTTTGGCACCATTCTCTGCTACAGAGACTCCAAGTCATGACAGTCAAAGCTGTCATTACTGTTTTTACTAATTCCTCTTTCACTGTTGTTCAATGCACTTTTGACTTCTTTAATTCTTTTTTTTTTTTTTTTTTTTTTGGCTAAACAGTTTGGCCTTTTATCCTAGACGACTTGAGGCCAATTCCAACTGGTCATGGAGACACTTCGTTCGTCCCCTGTCTGCCCATCTCTTCATAAAAACGTGCTCCTGCCTGACTTACCTTGCCGACGTCTCTCGGGAAAGGTTGTCTCTGATTCTCTGGGATTAAGATGGGAGACACCACAATGGACCTCTTTTGTCTCGGGACAGGAGATGTTCGTGCAAATTTAAATATGTCCTGAAAGAGAACAAAGTGAAATCAGTTGACCCCAGGGACAGGATGTCTCGGTCGGCTCTGGGAAGGGCTCCTTTGTGTGAAGGCACGTGGCTGTTTGGACATTGTTAATTCCGTTCTATCAAACCGCATTAGTGTTAGCAAGTACATCCTTAGAATTGTACGAAAGCTGACATTGTGATTCACAATGACTATCATTAAGCTATTTAATCCCATTTTCTGAATCATCCTATTCACCGTGTCAGTCTTGATTTACACCCCTGTTAGCACTGTGGGTTCCCGCCTGTTCTTTAGCTGCTGAGTGAGGAGATTCCTCACCTTGAACCCTCAGAACTCACTGGCTATAAAGGTGACTCCTCAGGGCTGACTGCAAGGTCCTTGCCTCACAGATGAACAGGGATGAAGGAGCAGCCAGGGTTCCAAACTGGCAGGCCTCTGGGCACTTGGAGCCCATGTGTCCTCAAGGACCACTTGCTATTACTATGAGTGGGAGGCCGGCTGTGGCCCATCCCTCATGCAGTATGTCCCAGACTTCCGTCACTGGCTCATCGTCAGGGTGTCTGTCCATCCGCAGCTCCCTTTGAAATTCAATACGTGTGTGCAAAACTCCTTTATATCAATATTTTAAATGCAGTACCAGTACTGATTTTTACAAAATGTAGGAAAACATACAAATAAACATATTGGAGACCGAATGATGTTATTAAATTTGAGCTAGAAATCCCAGGAAAACAAACACAACAGAAACTCTTTTTAAAAGGCAGATAAGAAAGGGCCAGAGGGGTGTCCAAGTGTTCTTGGCACCCAGCTGAGATGTTCTCCTTGATCTGATCAGAGGACTGAAAGAGAACTGAAAATAGGCTATCATTTCCAACATAGCAGATTTTATGTAATGCCATGAACTAAAAAATCCTACACAGCCTCAAAAGTAAGCATCTCCAGCTTTGAACTAGGGGTTCCTATCAAAGTCATGTGGCAAATCATATTTGAATATCATCACTGCCTCAGGCCCCATGGAAGTATGTGTATGTAGACATGTATACAACATGTTATACACATATACATATATACACACATATGCATAGTTTTTAAGGAAAATCTACATAAGAAAAGTCAAACAGAAAAGAGCAACTGAGGCTATAGACGTGTCTATAACAATCTTTCTCTTGATTTTGTGGGGAGTGTAACCTGGTGATACTCTGGTGGGAAGCTGCAATATTTCTCTACTGAGAACCTTACAAATGCACACACCCCTTCACTCTGTGATTTTACTTCTAGGAATACATACACATGCTCACTTCAAAAGAAGATGAAAACTGTATGCAGGAAGATGTTTCGTGAGACATTAGTTATAAAGGGCAATGATGGCAAACAACCTAAATGTTCAATTTCAGCTGAATTTGGGTCCGTGAGAGGGAGATGCCCTGGAGCACTTTCCAATGACAGTTGTGAAGACTGTGTCCCAACCGCATGATCACCCTTCAGCTGCTTCCCCAATCACTACTGCACACTATTATAATAGTCACAACTTATTAAGTGAGCGCTGGGCGGTGTGCCAGGCACTTGACATGTGTCTGCTCCAATATTTGCAATAAATGTCCCAAGTAAATCTTGGCCCTCCTACACCGATGAAGAATATCAGTTCGGAGTGGATATGCTCATTGCTCCAGCTTGCCTCGCTAGCACAGAGGATAGATAAAATAAAATCCACAGGAACCTAGAATACCATATTGGACACCTTCTACGTTATATAAACATTTTTGAGCATTGAAAAATAATATTCAAAATCTCACTGAGTGAATCTCGATGTGCAAGCAAACTAGAATGCGTATATGGAAAAGTGGGGAGAAAGAGGAGAAAGGGTTAAAGCAATGACAACAATAACTCAACTAGTCAGAAAAATATGTAATCCAAAACAGCAGAGACAGGGAGCGGAACAGATGATGAAAAAATAGGGTGGGGTCAAGAAGGTGGCGTAGGTATTCGCGGTATCACCTCCTCCCACAACCACATCAAAATTACAAGTGAACTACAGAACAACCATCATTCAAAACCACCTGAAATCCAGCTGAATGGAAGTCCTACTACTACGAAATTAAAGAAGCCACATGGAGACTGGTAGGAGGGCGGAGGCGGATGGCCGGTCCCACACCCACGTGTGGCAGATAAAATCAGGAGGACACCTCGGCTGGGAAAGTCCTCCCTGAGAAGTGAGGGGTCCCCGTCCCCACACCAGGTGCCCAGCTCAGGGTTCCAGTGCCAGGACGAGAAGTCCCCATACCTTCTGGCTGTAAAAACCAGCAGGAACTGAGGCTGAGAGAGGCTGAGGCTTCTAGAGCCCCAGGCAGCTCCTCTTAAAGGGCCCACACATGAACTTACTTGGACTTGCTCCCTCTGAGCTCCAGCTTAGGGGAGGCAGTTTGAAAGGAACCAGAGACATACGGGGAAGAACTGAGTTGTTTGGCATTGGGGAGAGGACTGGAGAGGCAGCTTTGTCTGGACAGACTTGCTGGTGGAGGCTGTTGTTCTTTTGATGAGCCCTTCCCCCACAGGGCAGGCAGATGGCAGCCATATCTGAGACTCCAGCAACCTGGCTCATACTGTTTGCCCCGCCCTGGTTATTCCCTGAGGCCCTGCCCCACCCAACTTTCAGGTCTACCCAAGCTGTTCCCAGTTACTTTACCATAGGATTGGCCTGTCTTGGATCCTGCTTCATATTTTCCTAAATTCTCTTAAACAAGCAGCATCTGGTCTCAGTGAGCCCCATACATCTCATTAAGTGGCCCCCAGGCCTGGCACTAGAAGCAGCCAGCCTTGGTTCACAACTTGGCTTTGCCTGGGTACCTCCAAGCCCAGCACAAGAAGCAGCCACCGGCAGATCGCTTTGTAGCTTATGCCTGGTGGCCCCAGGTAGAACACAGGCAGTGGCTGACCTTGCCCCAGAGCCAGCACACCCAGTGGACAGCTTCAGACTACGTTGAAGCACCACCACCCAACCACCTCCACAAGTGACACACTCAATGAGTGGACTCAATGGGTACCAGAGCCATGATGAAGTAAGTCTTGCTCTGTGTGGTGGGCCCTGCACAGCTGATCATCCAAGGTAGTCAGAGGTCGGTGGTCAGTGGGCACAGCCAGTCCTTGCAGCTGATCAGCCTGAGTAAAACACTCTCATTGATGTGCCAACAGCAATCAAGACTCAATTACAACAGAAGGGTATAAAGGCCACACAAGGGCTGTACCTCATGGACTCAGCTGGAGTGACCAGGGTGGCTGTGCCACTGGACCCTGAAGGACACCTACTACAATAGGCCACCCTATGAAGCCCAGGAGACATAGCAACTCTACCTAATACATAGAAACAATCACAGGGAAGCAGCAAAGATGAGGAGACAAAGAAACATGTCCCAAATGAAAGCAAAAAACAAAACTCTAGTACAAAACTAAATGAAATGGAGATAAGCAATCTAACAGATTTAGAGTTCAAAACACTGCTTGTTAGGATGCTCAGTGAACTTAGTGAGAACTTCAATGAGCTTAGTGAGGGCCTCAAGAGCATAAAAAGGGACCAGTCAGAAATGAAGGAGGCATTAACTGAAATAAAGAATAATTTACAGAGATTCAATAGTAGAGTAGGTAAAGCCAAGAAGCAAACCATCGATTTGGAACATAAGGAAGCAAAGAACACCCAATCAGAACAACAAAAAGAAAAAAGAATCCAAAAAATTGAGCTTAGTGTAAGGAGCCTCTGGAACAACTTCAAGCATACCAATATTTGCATCATGGGGGTGCCAGAAGGAGAAGAGAGAGAGCAAGACATTGAAAACCTATTTGAAACAATAATAACAGAAAACTTTCCTAACTTGGTGAAGGAAACAGACATACAAGTCCAGGAAGCACAGAGAGTCCCAAACAAGATGAACCCCAAGAGACCCACACCAAGACACATCATCATCAAAAAGCAAAAGGTTCAAGACAAAGAGAGAATCTTAAAAGCAGCAAGAGAAAAACAGTTAGTTACCTACAAGGGAGCTCCCATAAGACTGTCAGCTGATTTCTTAAATGAAACTTTGCAGGCCAGGAGGGAGTAGCAAGAAATATTCAGAGTGATGAAAAGCAAGAACCCACAACCAAGACTACTCTATCCTGCAAAGCTGTCATTTAGAATCGATGGACATATTGAGAATTTCCCAGACAAGAAAGAACTAAAGAAGTTCTTCACCACCAAACCAGTATTTTATGAAATGTTGAAGGGTCTTCTTGAAGAAAAAGAAGATAAAAAATATGAACAAACAAAATGGCAATAAATACATGTCTATCGACAATTGAATCTACATACAAAATAAACAAGCAGAACAGAAACATTCTCATAGATACAGAGAACATTTTGTTGGTTTCCAGATGGGAAGGGGGTTGGGGGAATGGGTGAAACAGGTAAAGGGATTAAGAAGTACAAATTGGTTGTTAGACTGACAAACCATAAAGGGAAGGGGGGTGGGGTGGGGGGATGGTAAGCAATAAACCAAAGAACTTATATGCATATATGCATAACCAATGGACACAGAAAACAGTGTGGGAAAAAGCAGGAGGGGGGAGGGAATGGGGGAAGGAGGGGGTCAATAGGGGAAAAAAGAGGAAAATCTATTATACATTCAACAATAAAGATATGTTTAAAAAAATAGTGTGGATGGTATTCATAACACCTTGACACGTGACATCTATAAAGATTATGTTGGTTTATTAGGGGATGGGAAAAGAACAGGAAATCTGTAAAATATGTGCAATATATGAAACTCATTTACAATAAAAAGAATCCAGTCCGGCTGGTGTGCCTAAGTGGCTGAGCATCAACTCATGCACCAAGAGGGTGCCATTTTGATTCCCTGTCAGGGCACATGCCTAGGTGGTGGGCCCAATCCCTGGTGCAGACCTGCAGGAGGAAGCCAGTCAGTGTTCTCTCTCATTGATGTTTCTATCTCCCTCTCCCTTCCTCTCTCTCTAAA